TGTTTTTTTTGCTATAGAGCGCGTGCGCTTGCCAGACAGACAGAGAGGGAGAGACAGAAACCGAGAAATCACCCCCCAGGGAGGATGGTCACGCCACAATCCCTTCTCCTCCATTCTCCTCTCAGGATCTTGGGCACCCACACACACACGCCCGGCGTGAGTTTAAACCACAGGGTCCGGGACTTGAACCATGGTTGACTACATGGGAGTCCAGCGACATAGACATTACACCAACTGCTGGTCCCTTGAGATTCCATTTCTATGGGCTGTCTGGAATGGGCAGATCCAGAGAGACAGAATGAAGACCTGTGGTTGCCAGGGCCAGGGTGGGGTGGAGGAGTGGAGAGTGGCTGCTTAGTGGGGACATGGCTTCCTTTTTGGGTGACAAAAATGGTCTGGGAGTAGATAGAGGAGGTATCGCACAGCACGATGACAGTGCTAAATGCCACCAAACCGAGCACTTTAGTAAGTGGTTAATTTTATTATATGAATGAATTTTACCTCAAAAATGTTTTAAAATGTGCAAGGGGAGCGGAAGGCGGGCCTTTTGGTGGTGCAGAGCTGCTGGACAGCTTTGCCAGTAATGCCTGGTCCACAACAGGGAGCCTGGCTGCCTCCTGGCACCTGCTCAGCCTCTGGGAGCTCTGGGCTCAGAAGATGAGAGAGCTGTCCTTCCACCCATGAAAGCGGGGCGTGAGTGGGCCTGGTGCTGCCAGAGTGAAGCCTGGCCTGGATTAGGGTCAGCCTGGCATGGGCCAGAGGCAGGGATGAGGCCCGAGTGGCCCCCCACCCATTCCTCTCTCCCCCTTTTCTTACCCCTAAGCTGTGAAGACTCCTTGTCCTCCATCCCGGATCCTGTGTGACCGTGTGCGCCCCAGTGTCTTGCTTGGTGCCATCTACCCCTGTAAGTGCTGGCCCGGCAGAGTCTCTGGTCCCTCCGAGGTCCACTCCTCACCCTCCACACCACCCCGAGCTCTCCTATCCTGCCTCATCCACTTCTGCCTGCCTACCCCCTGCCCACCCAGCACATGGCTCCTGGGCCGCGAGCTGGGACCCTGCCTACACCTCAGTGGAGTTTCCTGGCCCTCGGAACCAGCCCACGGCCCAGGCTAGGCATCTGTTCGAGGGAGGCCCTCTGCCGAGGGTGGGAGTGGGGCAGTGAGGACTGGGAGGGGCCTTGAGCCAGGCTGGGAGGAACTGGGTGGGTGTGGGGGACGTTTGCGAAGCACCTTCCCCTCCTAGCTCCTGCGGCCCTCCTCCCAGCTCAGTGGGTACTGGGGCCCCTTGCTCAATGACAGTGTGGGGGCTGGCACCTGTGACCCCACTCTGAACCCACATTCTCTTCCTGGTGCTCTGTGCCACCTTGGTGTTCACTTTTCCTGGGTCCCCACTGCAGGGAGTGTGGGGCCCAGGGGCCAGACGAAGGCAGCCCCAGCCCTGCTGTGGCCGTAAAGCACGGGCAGTCTCCGCTTCTCTTCTGCTTGGTGGGCAATGCCCCAGGCCAGAGTCGCCCAAGGATGTTCTTGGGGCACATCTGATGTTTCTCCCACCCCTCCCAGCCCCAGGCCCCAGAACCAGCTCCGGCTCAATCGCCTTGGGCTCTCACCCAGTGACGCCAGCCCGGCCGCCATCCCCAGCATCCCTGCCACTGCTGCCGCCACTGATCCCACCCCTGCGGGACTCCCAGCAGGCCCTGGGGCCGGGCAGGCACTCGAGAGCTCTGCGCCTGTCCCCAGGCAGCATGCAGGCCGCTGAGGACCCTGCTGACCTGTGAGCCCTGCCCCTGCCCCACCACAGCACATACCCCCACGTCCCTGGCCAACCCAGGGCTCTGGGCCTGCCAGCAAAGGACAGAGGGGGCCTGGCCACAGGGAGGGGTCCCTGATGGGACCCCACATTAGCCCAGTGGCTCCTTGAACTCTATGTGCATAAATACAAACAAGAGAATCTTTGCTTTGTTTTGTTCTGTTTTGAAATGAGAGACTTGGATAGGGCCTCTCGGTGGCACAATCCTCTTGCCTGCCGGTTGCCTAGGACTACAGGCATGCGCCACTGTGCCCACCTGTGGGGTTGGGCCAGGACCCGGGAGAGGCTTCTGTGTGGCCTCAGCCCCCAGCGCGGCCTTCGCAGTGCACTCCGCGCGCTGAGCCGTGGTCCTCGTTCTAATGCACTCAGCTTCCTACGGTGGCTTTTCCACCAAGCCTGTTTAATTCCTTGACCGATTTTCAATATGATACAGCTAAAGTGGCTTTAAAAACCATCACTTCCCTTTTACTAGCAGAAATGATTCCACTGGAACCAGTTCCAGTGACAGCTTCTCCACTGCAGTGTGCCCGGGCCCTCACGCGGGAAATCGGCTCCCCAGAACCGAGTTGCTGTGTGCGGCCTTCCTTGTGGCCGTGTCTGCCGAGCTCGCTATGGACGGGGTCTCGGGGCACTGCCCTGACCGTCTAAGCCCGCACCTTGGCTGACCCACGAGGATGCTGCACCGTTCAGGCCAGGGTGTGCGGGCCTGTTTCTGTCCTGTTTCCACACTCACCCCGGTACGTGTGGTCGTGATAGTCGCTGTGGCATGGGGGTGGGGGGTGACCAGCCTTGGTGCAGAGCAAGGGCTCCCACACCCCCTCCTCTGGGCCCCCTCCAGCCTGTCCTCCTCGGCCCCCCCCGCCCTCCTGCTCTTTACTCTGTGCAGCTTTGCCCCTCTCTCCTTCCTTTTTTCCTGGGCGGTGGTGGTCGGAAGGTATGTGCACTCACCAGAGAGAGGGAGGGAGGGGGAGAACGTCATCCTCGTGGGCATGGTCACGCTGCAATTTGTTTCCCTCCACTCCTCCATCCTTTTAGGATTTGGGACATGCACACACGCATGTGGGCATGCGTGTGTGCCAGGCCCAGGTCTAGGCCTCAAGTTGCACCATCAGCCATGTGGGATCCAGCTCTTTTCATCACTGGACCATGGGGCTGGCCCTTTTCCTTTCTTTCTTCCTTTTTTTAAAGTTTATATATTCTAGGACCAGCAAGCGGTGTGGAGGTTAAGGCACTGGACTCCCAGATGGCTAACTATGTGGCTTGAATCCCAGACCCAGCAGCTTGAAAAACACACCAGGTGCATGCGCATGCATACCCCAAATCCCTAGAGTGGAGTAGAAAGGACTGCAGCATGGCCACTCCCCCTTGGGCAGACAGGTGTTTTCTCACTTTCCCTCTCTCTGTCTCTCTCCAGCAAGTGTGTGTGCCCCTAACATTTTTTTTTGGTGGGGGCAAGGTTTTTGCTATAGGGCCTGTGCGCTCGCCCGAAAGAGAGAGAAAGCGAGAAATCACCCCCCCAGGGGGAATGACCACGCTGCAGTCCCTTCTCCTCCATTCTCCTCTCGGGATCTTGGGCACGCCCGCACACGCACCTGGTGTAAGTTTAAGCCACAGGGTCCAGGACTCGAACCGTGGTCAACTACATGGGAGTCCAGCCACATAGCCATTACGCCATCTGCTGGTTCCATGTCCTATAGCAAACTTAAAAATAAATAAGTGTATTCCATAAGGGAGTGGTAGAGCACACACACAGGGTTCCACACTGCAGCCCACCCTGAGCCCGTTAGCCCGGACCTGAGCACGTGTGTGCCGACAATACTCAGGGAAGCTCCAGACGCAAAGCTGGACCCTCCCTGTGTGCCGGAGTGCTGCACTTCACCCCTGCACCACCATCCGGTCCCTCTCCTTCCTCTATAGTTGACAGTTCTGTGTTGCCACTTTCTTCTACACAGGTTTGGGGCATGATCCCTGCCATGTGCCCCCACTCTCCCACTCCCTGGGATGGAGCCAGAGTGGGGCTGGTGGGAACCATCCCCTCTGCTGCCCTCTGCCCTTCCTGGGGAGGCCTGGGAGCACTGCAGGCCTGCCTGCCCCTACGGCTGGCCCCCCCCATGCCTCACCTCCCACCACCCTGCTCTGGCTGCCTCTCTCTCTAGCCCGTGTCCAGCTGAGGCTGAGGCCCTCCAGAGCCAGGTGATGTACCTGTCAAGCTGCCCCGGGCCTCACTGGCACAGGCCTGCCTCAGCCCCACAGCACAGACAAGTATTTCTGGCAGTTTCTGCCCAGAATAAAATCCTGCACTTTTCCAGTGGTGGATGAAGGGCCTGACCTTCTCCATGGGGGTGGGCAGGACCCTCTGGCCCCTCCTCCAGCCCCACCCCAGGATCAGCCTCCCAGAGCTACTGCTCAGAAGCCTGGCGCTATGCGGTCCGAGACCCACAGAAACCTTCTCCTCACCACCTGCACAGCCTGGGCAGCCCGTGTCCTCAGTTGGCCCCGCCGTTTGGGCAGACCAGAGCTCTGTGGCCAGAGCCACCCAGTGAGCCCCCAGCTCCCGGCCCTCAGCAGGAGCCCAGCCCACTTGGCGCAGAGCACAGCAGAGGCCAAGGCCCCACCAGTGCAGGGGGTGAGGCTGGTTGAGGGCAGGCACCGGGGCCTTCCTCTCCCTTAGGCCTGACCCCTCTTGGCCACTCCAAAGCCACGTTTCCAGACCACTCCTCAGGTTTTGAGAAATCAGTGCTTGAGGTAGTTCCTGCAGCCCCAGGAGTGAGGGCCCCGGGTGTCGGCGTGTAGCCCTGAGGCCTCCCAGGGCTCTGGAAGGTGGGGACGTCAGCCTAGAAGACAGGCCTGTCCTGGTGTGGTGGGGCCAGCTGGCCTTCGGCCTGGTCCCAGGTGGGAGCTGCAGCAGGCAGAACTGGCAGGGCTTGGAAGCCGGGAGGGGGCGGCTGCCTCAGCCCCCTCAGGGTAGGTGCTGGGTAGTGGGGACCAGGACTGGGCTCAGCAGAGCAGTGATTTCAGAAGGCCTGGATCCAGCCTCCTCAAGAGGAACCACCGCTCCTGACTCGAGACACAGTGACAAGGCCAGGCTGGACAGGGTGGGGTGGCCAAGGGGGGTTTTGTTATTAGACTGAGACAGGGACCAGCAGTTGGCATAATGGCTATATCGCTGGACTCCCATGTAGTCGACCGCAGTTCGAGTCCTGGACACAGTGGCTTAAACTCACACCGGACACGTGTGTGTGTGCCCAAGATCCCGAGAGGAGAATGGAGAAGGGATTGCAGCGTGGCCATCACATCTTGGGGTGTGTGTAATTTCTCACTTTCTGTCTCTCTGTCTCTATCCTTCTGGCAAGCACACACGCCCTGTAGCAAAAACCTCTCCAAAAAAATAAAAGAAGACAGACAAATCGGCCCGGGGGTGGGGGTGGGCGCATGGGCTGCGTGGATAACCAGGCAGGAAGATGCTTCTTGCAGAGCTGTGGGTTCTACCTCAAGGCGAGAGGTGCATGGTAACTCCAGCACCCAGTCCAGCCCCATCCCTGTGCTGCGAGTGAGGGCTCACTGAGCAGCTCCTCCCTTTCGAAGACCATGAACTTGCTAACCCTAAGGTATGAACAGCTGATGACACCAAGTGTGTTCTAAGCAAGAGGCCCTGGCCGGAATAGGGCACCGCCAGTGCGCGAAGGCAGCAAGGTGGGAGGTCCAGCAGAGGGCGGGCCTGCTATCTGTGCAGGGCTTCTTAGGGACGGAGTCTAGGTGGCCTGACCACCTTCCCATGGCTTTGGGAGGTCCAGCAGAGACCCTCTAAACACCCCACCTCTCCTCTCCTCCCCACTCCCATGGCTTCACCAGGCTGTGACAGCCACCCCTGTTGACTTCGTTATCCCCCAGGAAATGCAAACTGGCCCAAAAGCAGAGCCAAAGCTGGCCCTTGCACCGTGCCACCGGGGAGGCCATGGGCCTCCTGGAAGTGCCCCACTTTGGCCTCCTCAGGACTCGGTATTCTGCCACTGCAGAGCCGTGTTCTAAGGTCCGTTTGAAGTGCCCCACAGGAGCTGAGGCTAAAAACCCACAGGCCTGTCCAAGCGCAGGCCACAAACAGCCTTGCTTCAGATCTTCACTTTGGTCAGCCCAGGTGGCTGGAGTCAAGGCCTCATCTGTCTTCGTGCTGTGAAAAGCCCCTCAGAGACCTCCAGGGCCACGGCAGCCCTGCCCACAGCCAGCCTCGGGGACGGCATGGTCCTGTGTGACCGGCCACAGTGTGTTCCCAGAGAGCCCTGGGTGGACTGCTGGGGAGACCCTGGGGACATTCGGCGGTCTTTGGGGCATCTCTGCAGAACAAGCGCTTCTCTTTTTAGGGCCATCGGAACAAAGTGCCCTGCTTGCAGAGCGTGGGGAGCACACCCCTTCAGCCTGTCCCCCCAACTTGAGTATTTACTTCCACCACTCCTAGTGGGGAACAGAGACCCCTCTGGTTCTGAGGCAGGAGTTGGAGACGTATGTCCCAGAAGCCAGTGGGCTGGGCTGGGCTGGGCCAGCATTCAGCCAGCATGGCCTCGAGAATCTGGGCCAGTATTTCAACGTTCCAAGATAAATCAGGCCTTTCAAATGAGCCCTCCTGATTTAAAAAATGTTGGCAAATGTATTTTTAAAAATGTAAAACAGTGTGTTAAGCCCACCAGCTCATGCGGGGGCTGTGGGTTGGCAGTCCCCCTAAAATAGCACGCCATCCCCCCCCACCAGCTGACCAGGAGGGCACCCCAGCCGCAGATTGAGGGGAGGCCAGGTGTCCATCCCCTGGGGCTGCCCCATGCCCTCAGAACGAGGCATGCAGAATTTGGAGCACTTCTGTGGAGAACCCCGAGGGTGCAAACTGCTTTCAAAATGGGGGTCAGGAAACAAGTAGTTTGGAACTCAGGACCTGCAGGTGAGTGGGGGTGACCGGGTCTGGGCGAGGGCCGGTTTTCCTGTCGCTCCAGCAGCTCCAGGTGCCAGAGATGAGGCAGCCAAGGACCGGCCTATACATGTGGGCCTGCCAGGCCAGGCCTTTGGCACCATTGCTTTCTAGGCTGCTTGTGTTGCCACAGGCCGCAGGGCTCCCCGGCCCATGGTGCTGCTCTGACCGCCCAGCTTCTTCCTGGCACTCATGTTCCGGGGCCTGTGCATCTCAGGCCAACCTCCGGCTTAGCTCTGTGCACCCTCGGGGCCTAGGCCTCATACCTGTTGGAGGATGTGGCAGCTTCCGGGTGCTGCCAGCCTTGACCTCCCCAGACCACTCCCTCCCCAGGAAGGCTCCAGCAGTTCCCACCAGGCCTGGCAGTTAGTAAAAGTAATTGTCCTGGACCTCCCTCTAGAGCAGCTGTCTCCAGAGAAAGGCCAGGAACCTGGCTGTTGAATGAACAGGTGTAGGGGCAGCAGGCTGGGGCCAGGCACCGCAGGGGTCAGGGTGCCCATATGACCTGGGAGTGGCTTTACATCACTATTTTTTTTAACTTGCCAGTGGGTGATGTGCTTGCCCAAGACGGGCTGTCGGGCAGAGAAAGCATGGCCACAAGGCAATCCCTTCCACTCTCCTCTCAGGATCTTGGGCATGCACGCACACAAACCTAGCTTGTTTCTCAAGCTGCCAGGTTCAGGATTCGAACTGCAGTCAGTCACGTGGGACCCAGTGCCTTAACCACCATGCTGCAGACTGGTCCAATGGTTTTGTTCAACAGCTCTGAGGCACCGCAATGCACCATAGAATCCTCCTCTGAAGTACAGACCTGGTTTACAGCAGTCCCAGGCCAGCTCCACCACCTACCTGAGAGCATTCACACTGCCCACCGTGGCCATCCGGAGGTGCTGATGCCACGGCCCTGGGACCCAGTGGTTCACCGGGCACAACTTCCAGTGCCCTCTGCGGGGGATTGTGCCTGGGCACCAGCTGTGTCTG